AAACGATTAAACTGCACTGAAACATTGTATAATATTATGATAATTATTTTATAATACAATTAAATATGAACCATTCCTTCCTCATCCAATAGTGGAGATAGGATGAGAAGTAAAGGAGAGAGGAGAAAAGGAGAGGATCTACTTCGAGGGTCGGTGGCGCCTGCATCTGTCAGTGATTCCATCAAAATTCAGATGGGAATGCCTTCAGCAAAAAGTGGTGCCATTTTTTTTTTTTGGCACCATAACTATCAAGGGAAAAAATGGAATGAAGGAATCAAAAGCCTCACCATACAACCAAACATCAAACACGTGCTAAGTAAGGAATGCTTTTCCAAATCTCATCCCAAGCCACCTGCTTCCTTCAACCAAACATCATTAGCATAGCCGCACTGTGCACAGTTCAACCACGACGGCCCATCCAGTTTAAGGGTTTTATTTCTTGGTCCCGTTAACACTTTATGATGCAGTAAAAGCTGCTATTCCTTATAAGGTATTAAACTCAGGCTCCAATGCTTTTCTGCACAAGATGCCGTAAGCCTGAATAACATATCACACACTCACACACACACACACACACACACACACACACACACACACACACACACACACACACACACACACAATTAATGATGCTTTTATTGTTATTCTTGGAATTTCATATTATGACCTCTGGTCATCAGTTACATTCTTACACGGACGGATCTCAGTGTGGTCAATAACAGACACTGGCTGCTGAAGTTGGACGATCCTCCTTCATGGAAACTGAGTCCACAGCCATCCCATCTGTGCCACATTGACCATCCTTAAAGTCACCGCGCTTGCTCGGATTATAAACAGAAACGGTACTCGCTGCCTCAGTGACCGCTTGCCCCCTCTCAGATATAGCTTTCAGTCGGATACGCTCAGCTCTAGAGCCAAGAACCTGGCCTAGGATAGAAGCTGCAATTGTCAAAGCCATTGCTGATTTAGGCATCAGCACTGACTTCCGAAGCATGGCAATAAAGGGAACAGCTGCATGCACTGCTGCAAACCATGATAGGGAGAACTTTTTAGTGTGTTCCTTCCAAATACCCAAGGGAACATTAACTGCCATACCCAAGGCTGCAATTGCAAGCATTTTGGCAGGAAGAGGCTGCGGACGCAAGTTTTTCACTAATGCTGTGCGTGCAAGGGCTGCCCTCGCAGCAACAACTGCAGGTGGGCATCTAATCTTCATTCCAGGCGGTGGCCGAATAGCCGAAGCAACAAGGGGTAGAACATGGCTTACAGCTCTATAAGACTTGGCAATAGGACAGTTCCCTGTTTCCAACCATTCATTTCCAAGTGCCTCATGCTTTGATGAATCTCCTTTCTGACAGAGAGCTCAACAGGAGAACAAAGAAGCAATATAAGTCACATCTCCAAGATTTTCTTTCAGTAGTTGAAACTTGATAAGTAAGCTAACTTGATTTAATCAAGCTCAGAAGAATCATAAAAACCTTGCCCTCGAAGCCTCAACCCAATAACAAAATCATTGCTAATATATGACAAAAGTATTATATTTATAATTATAAGATGACACTAATTCAAACATGGGAAGTGCAGGTTTTTCTTTCACATTATCATATTAATGCATGCTCTGCCTTGGATAGTCTCCAGCCCATATTATATAAATAGTTAAATGCTTCCTACCAGCATAAAACTCATGTTGAGGTGCCTAAAGAAAAATGTTTACCAGGGATGAAGTTTCCCTTTTGATTGATGGTTCAGTCTTCTTTTGCTTCTTCCATTTCTCAGAGAAATTATCGAAACTGAACATACCACCAGGCCCAAAGGATGACAGACTTATGGTGGCAAATTTTGCAGCTAAAGGGTTGAAAGCAGGCAGAGGGTCAGGTTCTGTGCTATCATTGTGTAAGTCAGATTTCTCAGAGAGGGGAATAATTCCGTCTTTCCCATGGAAGAGCTTAAATGCCATGCCAAAATTAGGACCATCTTCAAATATAGGACCCTTGGCTCCCGGCACCTGAATAATTAGAATTAAAGCACTAGGTTAGAATACTGAACCGGATTGAATTTCAACATTCAGAAACAAGTTTCAACGAAACTGCAAAGACAACTTACAGGAATGTTAATACTTGATGAAGAAAAGCAGAAGTTTGTAGGTTTGTTGATATTTCTCAAAAATGGGCACCTTTGGATGTCTTTCACGTCAAAGGAGCATTCAGATCCATCTTCACCCATTCCCTTTAGTAAGTCCATTAACTCCTATTATCAAAGCAACTCCTAAAACAAAGAAAAAAATTGTGAGAATATATAGATGCGAGTAAAACTGTCCCTAAGTTAATTCGCGCATTACAAATCAAAAGGGTCAACGTCTCGATCGGCAATTGACATAGAAACATTCGTATTCATCGTTTCCAACGCAAAATATGAATAGTTCCCAGTTCTACTAAACTAATTGAGGTAGTAAAATCAGCACCTAAGCCTTCAGGAGAAGCTATTATGTCATTGGCGACTTGGCGAGACAGTTATTAAAAATTTAACACCATGAATTGAACTAAAAGGACTAAACAACGCGCGACTACAGGTCTACAATATCAGGAAGCATCAAGAAAAGGGAATTAAGTAAACAGACGGTTCAAGAGTTTAAAACAGAGTCCAATTATTGAAAACCGTTGGTGTTCCAAGACGCCAGCAAAAAATCCAAGATTCTAGGCCGTATTAGGCCAGAAGATAGATCCATATGAACCCTAAAAAGCCCATATATCCATCTTCGACGACGACTCGAAAACCAAATGAACTGAACTCCGATGAGAAAGTGATCAATACTGAAATTGGAAACGGCGAAGGAGTCTGGAAAGGGAAACCAAACCGGAGTAATCGTCGCCGGACGGTGATTGATTAACCCGAGAGCGGGAAGGACGTGTGGCTGCCACAGATGCGAGAGCACGACAACACAGGATATTGTCACGTGTTTTACTTTACTGCTTGAAACCGGTGGGGCTTAAGAGACAATTTTTTGTGGCGCAGAAATCGCAATAATCAATGTTTTCCTCGTAGGAGATGCGGGGACGATTTTAATAAATTTAACTTTAAAAAATAGATAAATAAGATTATAATATTTTTATGGTGGAAAGTGAAAACTGCGAGCTCTAATCCTCCGTTCAGTTTGAAAAAAATAAAATATTTTAAAACTAATTTTATTTTTTAATAAAATAATTACATATCTTTAAATTAATGTTTTTTTTATATTTATTTTTATTTAGTAAGATATTTTACTTTAAAATAATCATAAAGTTATTTATTCAGCACTTTTATAAAAAATGTGATTATCATACTTTGAAATACTAAAAATATTTTATATTTTTTAATATTTAACCCTTAAAAGAATTTGCTATATTTTTCAACTAATGAGTACTTCCTCCATTAAAAAATATAAAACATTTTTTAAAAAATTTGATATTAAAAAATGTAAGATATTTTTAGTTTTTTAAAGTAATCATTGTCTTTTTTTAAAAAAATGTGATAGTACCCTTATATTTATTATAAGGTATTTAATAGAGATAAATATAAAAAAATAGGGTTAATTTGAAAGTAGATAACTACTTTATTATAAGTGAAATTCAGTTAAAAATGTTTTATATTTTTAAACAAATGGAGTACATATTAAAAATATAAATAATTTCTTCTTTTGTTTTCATATAGTTTATTTTAGAATTTCTTATTTTACAAATATTAAAATTATAAAAATTATTAATTTATCATTTGGTGATCATTTTTTTGTTCGATGAACCATTCTGATCACTAGATAAATTAAAATTTAAACATGTTAAGTTTTAAAATTTATTACTTCAAACTAGTGATATTAGAATTAAATCGGCCCAACCAATCTGACTTGCTAAATCGAGAATCGATAATAAGTCCAATCCGATTGCAACAAAAAAACAGCTCATTCTGTGAACTGTCCATGAACCAGTCGAATCAGCTAAAATTGATAAAACTAACAACAAGCCGCTTGAACTGAACATGTTACTTTTTTATTTTTAATTCATATTTTTAAATTATAATGTATTCATATTTATATCTAATAAGTGTTATGAAATAAAAAAAATGCAAGAAATCTGCATGAATTATATATGTGTGTATATATTTTGGATGAAAACAATGTAATATTGATGGATACTATCTTTTTTATTGTATATTATTTTGTTTGAAATTTAAATATTCATTTTTCTTATTATATATAATTATGTATTTATACTTTAAACATATAATATTTAAAATATTAATTTATTTATGATCGATTGAACCATGATTCAAAACACAATTCAATTATTGAATCATAAACCAATAGACTGGTTCAACAACCAGTCCATAACATTTGTCCATGTGCATAAATAACCACTTATTTTATTTTAAGATTTTTTTTATCTTTGTACAAATTTAAAATATAAATAAAAATTTATTTTAATAAATTTACCTTATTTTTCCTTTTTTTTTTTAAATCAAACTCATTGCAACTTCAACAAAATCACTCCCTGCCATGCAACTTCAACAAAATAGACCGTTAAATCAAACTTATAAAAATTAAATTCAGAATAATATTAGTGTAATAATTCTACAAAAAGTAATACTCTATGCATCTCAATTTATAAGATATTTTTAAATAAAATTAGTATACTAATAAATTTCATTAAAGATACTTTATAATTTTATTTTTTAAAGCAAAAACATAAATTTTTTAAAATACCTTTTATTTAGTATTTCATTCATAAAAAAATTAAAAAGAAAATAAAAGAAAAAAATAGTATTAGAAAAACATAATTAATAAAATTTTATTATTATCAAAGTGTTTTGTATTTTAATACACTGAATCTTTTCTAAAAATATTTTATAAATTGAAAGGTAAGTAACAATATTTAGAACGATATGCGGATTAGTTTTGTAAAAAGTAATAATATCTAAAATACATGGAATAGAATTGCATAAAAAAAGTTGGGTCTAAGAACTAAGTCGGGTTGAAGCAATCACATAGTAACAGTTATTCTGATGATCCCATAAACAAAGGGAGTTTTCAGTGAGAATCTGCAGTACGGCCTTCTAAGTTAACTAACATAAACCATCTTGATACATTACAAAAGTCACAGGGAGGCTTAAGAAACAGAAATTTCTCTCAGAGCGCATGAGTCATGCTTGAAGTTTTATGCGTACTAACAAAATCCAATCCGATATAAAGGTGCCAATCATTGCTTCATAAACCGTGTCTATACAGAAGAACCAAGACAGAGCAGCAAGCCGCTCAATGTTCAACAGAATGATAAGGAAAGTGAAATCCATGACTTTTGAAGCTTGATGCCATCAAAAATGGCTTCCACAAACCAAGCTGTACAGATTACTCAACCATAAAAAAGCAGTCAATGAATCAATGCCAAAATCCATCATAATGTTACTAAAGCATCTCTCATTTTCAATAGAACTTCAAAATCCGCCAAGCTGTTGCCTTTGAACAAACCCATGTCCTCCATGAACAACACTACTTCCATAAGCTGAAGGGGCTGCTACGTTGAGACCAGGACAGTCTCGTGCCCAGTGACCAGTTTGATGACATTTAAAGCATTCACCAGTTGCAACACTAACACCTGCCCCAGAAGATACCCTATTTGCAAAGGCCCCTCCTCCCATGGACTGTCGAGGCAAACTTGCAATGTTCGGGCAATGCATAGAGCTATGGCCAGAGCCTCCACAATTGCTGCAAGGCATAAATGAACTAGAAGACCCAGCTGAAGCAAAAGAACTCCTATATTGGTGCTCATACTGACCCACTTGATTTGCTGGCATCCCATATTCTCTACTCGCACCACTGTTGCTATTTATAGGATTATAAGCTGGTGGCATTGCCAGGCCAGTTCCAACACTCTGATGTCCAGTATTACTGATTAGAGAATGAGGATTGATACCTTCTACCTTTTCAGCTTTAAGCTTATCAATCAAATCCAAAAGAAATCTTGATTCAGATGAAAAGTTAACCTTCTCTGCTTTCACCACTGTTGACTTCACACGTTGTTCATCACCAAATGTCTCTTCCTTAACTTTTAACTTGAATATGTATTTAGTAAAAAGAACCTTACGGATGACTTGTGCAAATCTTTCATCGTCCTGATCTTCATATTTCATATAATAAAGATCTTTGGCAGGTAAGCCCATTATCTCCTCACCACACTCCTGAAATGCAGTTACCCATGTTAGCCCAGTGTGGTCCTGTATTTGGAGTTGCAGTATATACCTATATTCACATGCATCAACATACTGGTCACATCTATCACACCTCCACTTTCCGTCTCCATTATTGGACACCTTTTTGCTACATTTCCTATCACCTATCATGATGGGACAGGCTGTATAGCAGAATGAGTCGGCCTTAATGAATGAAACACTTGCACAGATGCTAATCCAATCAGGCTTCTCTGAAGTCCCTAACTTCTCATCTTTAATCTGAGATATAGTCTTCCTCATATCATTCTTACCAGCATTGAATGATTCTCTGGAAATAGAAATAGTTGGTACGTTCCTCCCTTCCTTGTCAAACCATTCTTTCAACCTGTAAGCCTCAGGAAAATCAGGATCTATAAATAGCTGACTATTGACTATGGTCCCAAGGGCCTTCCCATTGAATTCATTTACCCTGGCAGCTTTCACAGCCAAAACTGGAAATGCACCTGAGTCACAAGTATTCTGCAACCGTTGTCCTTCTGCACTACAAAAATCTCCCCATAGGGTTAATTCAACACTACAGCCAGACATGTCCTTCAACTGGAGGGCTCTCTTCTGAGTTTCAGTACCATTTTTTCTCATGATTGAGGTTGTAGGACTGACAGAAAATACCACACCAATCACATCCACAACACTCGAAATTTCCATGCTTTCAACATCACTAATTGGACGAAAATTAAAAAGACGCATTGGAATTGATTTGTCATCATCAAGGCATGGCTGTATGATGGATGTCAGATCAAGGGTCAGTTCTTGATCATTAGGAAGATGATTAAAATTTTTTTGAGCCGGCTTTATACTCCCCCTGGAAATCAGATATACTTTACCAACTTCAACTAGACGATAGAACTGTTCAGCCACTGCATTAAAGCAAGTTGCACGAATTTCTCCACCATCAGAGTCAAGAAGATCAAAAGAAAACACTTTGCCATCACCTCTGGCATTGTTGTACTGCCTGAGGCTTGCCTTTGATGTAACTCTAGCCTTAATTGTCCACATGTTTTGGTATGGGTTCAATGCAGCTATTGGAATTATCCTTGGCAAAGCTTCATTTCTGGATATTGGTCCCCTGTTATTGTAAATTGGAGATGGCTGTCTATGCATAGGCTGTGGTGGATGAATATAGGCATTTTGTGGGGGTCTTGGAGTTTCCGGTCGAGGATTGCAAAATCCCATGTTATGTTCACCATAGGACCCACTTGATGGCCCTGATTTTGGTAAAGTAGGTGTAGCTCTAGGCTCTGTTTTAGGCAATGAAGGAGGGGCATTTGCAGCACCATATCTTGCACCATTGTTATTGTGATTGATTTGTGAATGATCTAGAGATGGCCCAGTCACATTCGGTCTAGCAATGTTGCCACCTGCAGGTGAAGTACTGGTTAAAGACTGAGGATTTCCTGTGTTAGCTCCAGACTGATCAGTGGAAGATGATGCAGGTGCAGCTCTTGGCGCAGCAACAGGTTCTCCAATCAGATCACATCTGTCAAGTACCATATCCAGCTCAATGATGATAATAATCCTGTTTTTGGTGAATGAAACAAACATATCATTAAATGATCCTTAAACATGGATAAAAAAAGTGCAAAAGTCTACTTGGAGCATAAACTCCTACTAGGCAAGCAAGCATTCAATTTATGGGAAAATACAAAACAATTAGTCTCATCACGGATTTTTCCAATAAGACATAACCACCAAACACAGTTAAGGACATGGAAACACATAACCACAGCTATAAGAGAGCAGGAAACAAGAGACAAAAGTATCCCTAATACCTGATTTCCTAGCCCAGTGAAAGCTTGAAGGTTAGTTGATTGATCCCACCTAAACTTCCAGAAGTCAGTCATTTCTAAAACTACTAATAATTAACCATTGTGTGAATAGAAAAACAGCCAGTCTATGCAGTGAGAATGAAGCATTCACCAATGAAGACTCTTGCTGGCCTAAAATCTATTTGATTCTAATAACGACCTATCTGCTCATAACCAATATCCTTATGGAACATTCAAATTTAACCATTTCTTTCGTTCCTTTCAACAGGAAGAACCAATCTGTAGACAAAAATAAAGAGAAGGAACAATATTTCGAAACTATTGTAGAACCTTCACAGCAACCATATTCAAAACATCCCGACTCAGAGACTTCACTAGTTTCTTCATCTCCATTCATCATAAATACCAATTGAAACAGAAATCAAGACGATCAATCGCTATTCAAAATCATAACTTAAACACAAGCAATGAAAATGGCTCGTGGGTATAAAATCTAACGCGTGGGAACAGAAGACTAGAGATGCCCAAAAAAGCGACTTACTTGCGACTCTGTACAACATTACAAATAAACTGAGTCAACTTAACAACAGAGCCCTTCTGCAACCGCCCAGCATGGACCAACTCGTTCTTCTGAGTAGCGAGCATCCCTTGCTGATAATGGGAACCGTCTGAAAGCACAAGCCTATACCTCTCCGTGTTGTTATGCTGCTGCGACTGCACCAACTTCAGGTCAATTACTTGAAGCACAGGCTTCAGGTCCTCGCAAGAGAAATCGTCTCTGCACATTGTTATTATCGCCCCGCCAGTGAGATTTGCAGCCATTGTCGAAATTCTGAGATCGCAACCCTAAAAACTTATAAGGGCCAATGAATTGGATGTGGACAAACGAAGAGGAAACTAAGAAGATGATCGGTGTTGAGAGAGAAACCGTCGGGAGCTCAAAGAGGAAGAGTAGGGAAAGGGAAAGTTTAAAAACCCTAGAGGCAGGTCAAAGGTCCAGTGAGCGCCATAATTTCAGTTGGGAGGGAACCACGAATTTTGCAAGAAATTTGAATTTCCTCTAAAGGGTATCAGAGTTTCTAAAAGCACCGAATGTGAATTCTTTTTTTTTTTTTCTATCACTGTATTCTCCTTGGGCCGGGATTCATCGGTCAAAATCATTGATATTGATTGATATTGACGATTTAATTTCTACATTGGAAATTATGCTTAAAATTAGAGGATTGGATCAAATAAAAAATAAAAAATAAGAGGCAAATTTTGAATTTAAAATTTGAAATGAAAAAAAATTAACAGAAGCAAAAAAACTTTTGTGTGATTTTATTAATAATAATTCATAAATATTTAATGTGTGTTTGATTTTTTATTGGTGAGAAATTAATTTATTAAAAATTCATTTAACAAAAACTATCTTGATAAAAATTAATTGTTGTAATAAAATTTATATTTAAATATATTTTTTAAAAAATTAATTTAACAAATTAAAAATTATTTAAATTATATATAATGAAACGTCCTTTCAATAAGTTCATGCATTAAATTAGGGCATCCATTCCTATCTCCACCGCTGTACATGCAGGTTGAGAAAAAGCGTGGAAATTTCCTTCTTTAATTTTGTAATAATAAATACTCATATTCATATTATCAATATTATTTATATCAATCGATAAATACAAAATATGAATTTTATAGCACGTTGTCATGTGATGGAGTATCTTATTAAGTACGCTCCCCTCGGTTGATAAACAAGTAAATTACTCTCATATCTCTGATATGAAGTCAAATTAACTTTTTTTTTTTTTTGAAATAAGAGGTCCAACGATGAAATGAAAATCAATAAAAGTCACAGCTCATAAATTATAAAAGGCAATGAAAGGATAAAAAGGAAAACCATGAATCTAGTGATAAATGATCTCACCAATCAAAATCTAGTGATAAATTTATTGTCTTGAAAGTTGAGCCTTGAAAGTTTGATAGTCTAGTTGGATGAACTAGTTACTGAATCTTTTAAACCCGATGAAGATCAGGTAGTGATGTTTTTTTTATAGAGAAAACTATCCAAACTATTATCATGCACGTGCGTAGATAAACAAGTGAAAGTAGATCAAGTACAAACAGATCCAAGAAACCAAATAACAATGTTAATTATCCTTAAAATTGTAAGAAACAACATGTAACTTTATAATCTCACATTCAATCAATGGTAAATAATAAATAATAACACCAAATATAATAAATTGTTGTGTTGGAATTCCGACCATAATGATGAGAGGTGCTTGATTCAACTTATTAAATGAATTGAATCAGCTTATCATAGAGATTTTCAAGATACCAAGCAAAAAAAAAAAAGGAATTCAAGCCATCTTTTTAAAAAAATACCATCTTGTCACATTTGCTTTTATTTAATAAAATATTTTACTTAAATGTTACAAGTTAAATAGTTGAGAGAATGATACTTAAGGACCTTAGATAAACGAAATTAGCATACAAGGCTCGATGCACTTTGAATTTATTCTTCAAGTCCAAAGCCCTTATACATAAACTTATTTTCTAGTGAAAATACTTATTTGCTTTTAGTAAAAAATGTTTTTCGGGCCTAACTCAGGGACCTATGTTGTTGTAAATTATCTTTTTACCTTTTTAATTATAGTTGATATTTTTATCAAAAAGAAAAAAAAACTTATTTACCCCTCATTTGAAAAAATAATATTATGCACGCAACATTTTATTGTTAATACATGGATATTACCGCATTAAATATAAGTACTATATTGTTCATGCATCCGAGAAATTTATATATTATTTTTCAACTAAACTATAGAGACTATATATAATAAATAAATATTTTGTTGTCAATGTATGGACATTGTCATGTTATATATAGATATTCTGTCCACCATACATGTAGGAAACCTTTATATTATTGTTCACATGAATCACACAAACCATGTATAATGAACAGATATTATGTTATTAATATATAAACTGTGTCATATTATATACAGACATTCTGTTCATGCACCTAAGGAACTAATACATTATTGTTCAAATAAACTATATAAACTATGTATAATGAATGAATATTATATTATTAACATGTGAACCTTATCGTGTTGTATATAAACATTTTGTTATATGTATGCGTGAGAAGCTTATACATTTAAAATGATGGGTAAATGGGTCTTTTTATTAGAAAAAATATCTGCATCTAAGATTTTGGGCTAATAAAATAAATTCATATTGTATTGGGCCATTAGTGTAAATTTATTTGAATTGGAGCCTGGGTGCCATTCTTCCCAAGTGGTTGAATACATTAATGCTAATTTTAAAAAAACTCATTAACTACACATAAAAAAAACTAAAATATAATCTTTATATTTTTTTTCTTTAGGATCCTTACGAGCTCTATATTTGTATGTAATTGTTCACACTTTGCGCGATAATAACGATAATTTGCGTGAGGCCAAGCCCAGCTTCTTAAAATAATAAAAATTAAAATTAATTCTAAAAATGTTAGAAAATGGAGGGACAAGTCAATGCTATCAAGCATTAACATCGAGGGTTGAGTGAAGGGGGTTTGGAATTTTAACACCAACGGATGGAGGTTAATATCTCTAAGGAGATATGGATTAAACTTCAAATTCTCATTAAATTAAAAAATGCATTTATATTTAATGTCTAACTATGATTCAAATAATATTTCTTTTAATAGAAAGATGCATATATAGCCATTAAACATGTGACTGTAATTTGATTTAAATAAATTTTAAAATTAAATTATTAAAATTAAATACATCTACATTGATAAAGTATCACGTTCAACATGAAAAATTCAAATCATGACAACTTATTTTTGATATTTTTTATTTTTTATTAATATTAATTTTTGTTTTTGAGTTTTTTTTTGAATTGGTCTTGTTGCTTTTATGAATTAGTCTACACAATATATACTTAAATAGCTCAGCTTAATAAAAAATAAAAGAGTTTAACAAGTTTAATTGAGTTACTTACAAGATTTAATTGAGTTTGTATTTATTTAGTTTAAATTTTTAAATGAATTAATATAATTTTATAAGTAAAAAATATAAACACAATAAATTTTAAAAATTTACTCACGACTTTAATTAAATTTACATTTAGTATGAACTTTACATGAGTTTGCATAGGAGATTTTTTAATAAACATCATGTAATTTATGTCCACGCTACTTTACAGGATTCACGAATTGAAACTTATAACACACCAAATTTTTTTTTTTAAATAATTTAACTCAACCATAGTTGGGTTACAGTCACCCACACATTTTTATATCAATAATTTCAATATAAAATATTTTATAATTGGCTTCAACTCACACACTATAGCATTTCAGATAAATTTTTACCTCCCACATGCCATTAGGTTAAATCACATTTGTCCATCCTTATACTCCCAACAAGTAAAATAAGCAATTTAATAAATTTTCAATACAAGCCAGTTATTTGGCCTTATAATCATGCCATTTTAACCAATCCAAAGTAAACCAAATATTAAAATTACAGTCATCTAAATTGTACCAAAAATAGAAATAGTTTGAAAGGCATGATTACATTTATATATTCATATAATTGACAATAAACAAAAAAAAGTCCTAATATTGGCAATATAACACATTATAAATCATAAATTAAATACCCAAAAGAGACAGTGGATTTATACCACTAAGCCTCTGGGACTCCTCCACGTGTCACTCGTGGCTCTTCTCCTGAAAATTGTTAACCACATAATGAGACTCAAAAGTCCCAGTAACCAAAGTCAATTTATGATAGTGTATACAAACAGTTAAGTGTGTGCTTACTAAGTGAGAATAAAAATAATATAATTCTAACAAATATAAGAAATATTACAATATACACAAATAACCATTCTTATATCCCTCCATTAACCTCGAGCCGTAGCCCTCACTCGGTGCTAAATTACCCGGCCAAAGGTAGATTAGCTCGAGCCCTTACAAGCCACCTATTGAGCTCCAATAGGGGCGTACCATGTGGCACATAAATACAACAATAATAGCAAGTCTCCCAACACCTCCCACAATAATTAAACAAATTCATAATAATATTGCACAATTATACAATATTACAAAATTCATAATTTTCTCAATAATCACCCAATTAACATGAAGTAACACTAATCACAAATTAAAAGCATGGTTACCTTGTGGCTTTTTCAATAAATTATTCCTTAAAATTTCTCTCCCACCACAATCTTCACCAGTAATACAATCTACAAATAACATATTATTTATAAATATTAGTTTCAATTTTTGAAACTAATAAAATAATTCTAATAATAGAATTAAAAATATAATATAATTCCTAATTTCAATCTTAATACAAATCTATAGTTAATACTATTAAGTAAAATTTTTAACTCCTCTTTTAATTATCAATAAACATTAATAATCTAAAAATCAACTTCTAAACTAATTTCTATTGTCAAAATTTTCTTTTTATTTCATAAATTCGTACCTAAAATACCCAAAAATTAAAAATTGAATCTCTAGCTTAGAATCATAATCCTATAACTATAATAATTCATTTCTCGTCCCAAATAATCATCTAAACCTCAATAAATCAACATATATTTTCAGATCTAGTTTAGAATTTGATCCATAAGCCACAGATTCAAAGATCATCAATAAATTTATACTCTAGAACATTTATTATACTACTGACAACCTCAAAAATCATATTTATTCAACATAAATTCATCCCTCTTCCAGATCTTAAATTTTCTACCACTACAAACTCAGAAACCAAAGAAAAAGGATGACTAAGAAAAAATTTTAGAACACTTACTTAGTCTTGAAAAGCTTAAAATCACACCCTAAATATCCTATTAAAAACTCTTACCTTAAAAACTCAGATCTCCCGCACCGGTGAAACTAGACGCTCTTTCAGTCTCAGCTCACGCACACGAAGAATGAAGAAACGAAAGGAAACGGGTGAGTTTTTATAAAAATTCAGTGGGTCCCA